GGAGGAGGAGGAGGAGGAGGAGGAGGAGGGGAGAAAGGATGGGGATGTGTTGGAGTAGGGGGAGGATGGGGAGGAGGGGAGGAGGAGGAGGAGGAGGAGGACGATGATCATGATGATGATGATGAGGAGGAGGAGGACGATGATGATGATGATGATGATGATGATGATGATGAGGGTGATGATGATGAGGAGGAGGAGGACGATGGTGGTTGTTGGGATAGGAATGGATGTTAATATTTTAACAAGGTTTTCTAGCATGAAATGTTCGAACGACGAACAAAACACCACGAGTACAACGTCACTGCTTTATTGATAATCTATTATGTTTAATTTACCCGGATGCATTAATCGAATTTTATTTCTCTTAATCTTATCTCGGAACCTATGATAATGTGATTTAGCGATTGAGTTTTACGTCTCCAAGAAATGTGAAAGAGTTTTTCAATGAAAAGGTTTGAATTTAAGTATATTATGCAGGGTATCTCAACCATTACATAAGAAGTTATCAGTTACTTATGTCTGTAACCTTCCGCGTGCAGTGCTGGGAACTCAGTCGGGGGGTTAGTATAGTCAGGTGGGTGGGAAGGGACCCCGTCTTCCCGCCATGATGGGGGGACCCACCCTCTCGCTATCCCTCCCCCGCGGTCCCCGACCCCGCACCCATTACCGTACGCTGCTCATATATGTTAAACAAAAGCCGCCACTACCAGCTCACACACACACTCTCTCTCTCTCTCTCTCTCACACACACACACACGCGTGGCACGCCCACTGCTGCTAGCGGCGGCGCAGGGGGGGGAGGGGGGTCACGCGACTCCCAGCCCTGCACACCTGTTAATTGCCCGCCGTGGTTTTATACACCTGGCCGCACGTCGATTGACTGCGGCACACACGCACGCATGCGCACACAGCGTCTGCATTGATCCACGACCCGCCATGTTTGCCTGCGTAGCAACCAACATAGCAACAGCAGCAGCAGCGGCAGCAGCAGCAGCGCGGGCTGTCTCGTTCACACATTCCTGACGTGCTATTTATATGTTGAGGCAGACGCGCACACGCACACGGCGAGTTGAACTGTGGAATATTCCCTCTTACCTGTGTTTACCTGTGGATGGTTTCCTGTGTGTGCGCGCGGGCGGGTAGCTGTGGGTACACGTGTGTGTAGGATGTGGGATGGCGAGGTGCGTGTGACAGACGGGAGTGTGGACTGAGAGACAGAGACGTACGCTCACTGGTGGAATACATACACGTACAGGTAGGGATTGCTAGATGTATATAAACCTGTGTGTGTGTGTGTGCGTGTGCGTGTGCGCGCGTGTGTGTGCGCGTGTGTGTATGTATGTGTGTGCGTGCGTGCGTGCGTGCGTGCATGCGTGTGTGCGTGTGACTGTGTCTGCGTGTATATGTGTGAATACGTTTATAACGGCCACCTTACACCTGTATAGCGACCACCTTACACCTGTATAGCGACCACCAGATACCTATCTATCTAACGATGACCTAGCTATGTCGTTATACCGCAGCGCTTACTGCTATACTATGTTACTATTACAGTAGTCGTGTGTTTTGCTTACGTTCGTGTACTTGCCGTCACCTCACCTCACAGCTACGTAACTAAATGCGTACGGCTGATTCATTAGTAATCTCACTCGCTGTGGAGGATGGGGGGAAGGGGAGAAATCACGGCCCAAGGATAGAACAGCTGTCCACATTTGCACATGACGCACACTACGAAAATGCAGTGGGGTCACCTAATACATCCTTGAACCGAAAATCACAGGTAGATATGGCTGCTATAGGGGGTACCATCGTAGCAGGCGGCATCC